AAGAAGAAGAAGAAGAAGAAGAAGAAGAAGAAGAAGAAGAAGAAGAAAGTGAATTTTATAAAGAGTTGGCAGGGAGATGTAATAGCACTACCAATAGCACTTAGATATCATTCCATAGTTCTTTACAGCCCTCTCTAAGTGGTTTGCAGAGTCAGCATATTGCCCCCAACAATCTGAGTCCTCATTTTACTGACCTCGGAAGGATGGAAGGCTAAATGAACCTTGAGCCAATGAGGATCAAATTCAGTGAGCTGAATTAGCCTGCAATACTGTATTCTAACCATCACATCACCACAGCTCCTCCATTGTGTCACTGTAGCTTCCAATGAGTGTGCATGTTGCTGAGGTCAAAATGGGACCCATTTTGACCAGCAGGGTGCTTCAGGAGGATGTCTAGGCCAAAAATGGGCCACGTGGGGGCTACATGTAGCTCCTCTGTGTCCCATTTTCAGTAGCAGAGGCATCATAGGCCAGTTCTTTGCTATTTCCAGGCTGGCCCCATAGGCTGGATCTAAGCACCCCATGAGCTGGATTCGGTGCACGGGCCTTGAGTTTGACATCTCTGCTTTAGAGTGACTGAGTTTGAGTGAGACTTTCGGAATGAGATTCATGGATATGTTGAAGAAATAGAGTTGGCATTAGCAAGATGGAGTTTAGTGATCAGCTGGAGGCAGAAATGCTGCCACAAATCAGTTGTTGTGAATTGGTGGGAAACTCAGGAGCTTTCTATATATCATTTGGCACAAAACTTTTCAGAACCATTGGAAATAACACTATGAATAAACAGTACGGATTGTACCAAAGGCATGTGTCTGGTTATTCCTGCCTTAATCCTTTAATGCAGAGGTCTCCAAACCTGGCAACTTTAAGACTTGTGGACTTCAACTCCCAGAATTCCTCATTCTGGGAGTTTATTTTATTTATTTATTTATTTGGTTTGTCAATTGCTTACAAGATAATAGGTATAAGTAAAAACATAGTTATGAAGACATGGATTCATATAAGAAAAATAAAAAATAAAAGAAACAATAGGACAGGGACGGTAGGCACATTGGTGCACTTATGCATGCCCCCTACAGACCTCTTAGGAAAGGGGTGAGGTTAATCGTAGACAGTCTAAGGTTAAAGTTTTTGGGGTTTGTGGAAGAAACCACAGAGTCAGGTAGAGTATTCCAGACATTGACCACTCTGTTGCTGAAGTCGTATTTCCTGCAATCAAGTTTGGTGCAATTAACCTTGAGTTTGTACCTATTGTTTGCTCTTGTGTTGTTATGATTGAAGCTGAAGTATTCATTGACAGGTAAGACATTGCAATGTATGATTTTATATACTATACTTAGATCGGACTGAAGGCAGCATAGTTCTAGGTTTTCTAGGTCTAGAATTTCAAGTCTGGTGGCATAAGGTATTCTGCAACGAGTAGAGGAGTGGAGAACTATTCTTGTGAAATATTTCTGGATTTTCTCAACTGTGTTAAAACTGTGTTTTAACTGTGTTAAAAGTTGAAGTCCACAAGTCTTAAAGTTGCCAAATTTGGAGACCCCTGCTTTAATGTATGCAATAGCAGCAGAATAGGATTGGAAAGACAATTCTCAGCTAAGTCTATTTGAGTTAACATTTATCAATTATTGGAGAAGGTGGGAAACTGTTGTTCTGCTGGAACAGAACAAAAGTGTGTGATCACCCCACCCCCACCCCCACCCCCCACCCCCAGGATTTTTACCCCAATTTCAAGGAAACTTGCTTGGAGCACTCTCACGTTTTGTTAGAGAAGATAGTCTGTAGCTGAACCAAAAGTTTTCATGTTGGTTTGTGAAAAGTGTAAAAGCCTCTTTATTATTAAAAGTCAGGCAATGTATGACCTTCTGTAAGCATTTTCCCTGATGAGCTCCCTTAATGCATCCCTTTCCTTGTTAACGCTCATATAATTGCTGTCATTGCCCAAGGAGAGAGCCATCAAAGTAGTCAGCTCATAAAGTTTATACTGATTTGAACTATCCTGTTCAAGATAAAAAGGGAAAGATAGATTATATGTCTGTATGTGCTTCTGTTTGTATATCTGTAGAATTATGCATAGGATTATAGGGTTGTGTGTGTGTGTGTGTACACACACACACACACACACACACTCATATCCTTGCCAAATCCAGTAATTTCAGTAAAACCTTTTGGTACAGAAAAATACACTGAGTTGCTAAATTAGCACTGTGCTGAAGGTTGTCCTGGCCCCTTTTTCTTTTCTGGCTCCTCACCCTAGGAAGCAGTAGGAAAATGTTCCTTTTTTCCCCTATTCTTTCTTATTTGGCACATTGGTAATGATTTCCTAGCATTCCTATCATCAACTTTGATACTTTTAATTTGCTAAATTCCCCATTACCTGCTCGATGAAGTCAGACCTTATTTCTCTTTCCCTTTCACTCCTTATCAAAGAAGCTGAGATGTCTTCTGTTATATTCAGACTAAGAACACATGAAAAAAAAAAAATCTAGCCCCACTAGGAAAAGCTGTTTTGTTTTTTTGTCTCTCCTTCTCTCTCACCTTCCTTCTCTTCTTCCTCAACTATAAATTGCTTTCTCCTTTCACAAAATGGAAACTTTTCTTTCTTCATTTTTTAGCTCCAGGTAAGGTGCTGTCCTTTAGCATGTATGCCTTTGAATGCCTCCTTGGTGTGGGAAGACTCTTGGTACTATTATTGGACAAGAATGTGTTTTTCTCTCTTCTCCCCCCCCCCCTTTTTTTTTGAAGTCCTCACCCTCTTGCCTTTGTAGAACTCTTGTTCTTGTCCCATTTTTAATTGTCCCGTTTCCCCCTTATGTAGCTGAAATCTATTTACACTCTATTACATTGACTCTCAAACCCACCTCCACCAACCCTTGGCTTGTGTTGTGTTTCTTGGAATTCAAACTTTGGTATCCTCTTATTGAACTGAGTCTATTAAGGCAAACCCTACTCAGGATACCCATTTACACAGTAGTTTTAAGCACATGTGAGCAGCTGCTTAAATGCTGGATTTATTTCCAGCCAGTTATGCCCAGTATGCAAATATCAGAGAATGAAAATCCTTGACATCAGGATAGCATTATAAATCTGGATCCACTTCTGCTCCCACATAAAAATGTCATTTTAAAGAGGTCTTGTTTTAGAGAAAATTTGGCAGGAGCACTTCATAGCAAAAATCTGTGACTTTAAATCTTTATGCTTGGCACTGTTTGCTTATTTTGCATAATTGTGTAAAGCAAATGCCCTTATATACAAGGACTTGGTATCAAACTGCAGGTCAGCTGAGTGATCTGTACAGTTTATGTTTTAGTTCATAGCCCATAACTGCCATCATTATTTTTCTATGGCACAATAGACATGTCAGTGGGAGGAGATTCAACGAACTGTGTGAAGCAAACCTGTATAATGTTGTAGTTCTCCCTCTAAAGACATCCCCAGAAGTGAGAGAAAGAGCAATGAAAAGAAAATGCTAATTAATGCTCCAATTAAATATATAGCAATCAAGTTGTATTAAAGTCAGTCGATCCTAGGGGAGAGCCTCTGCCTGTGTGAGTTGTGTTAAGTGTGAAAAAGACCTTCAAAACTTGATATGCTGCCAAATCTTATTCATATTGATCAGCATCTGCCCCCTTCCAACACTGAAAGTTCATTTGATGTTTGTTTTGCAAAGTTTCCCAGGAAATGAGAAAGCAAAATGTAGCCACGAGCACTGCCATTGTCAAAAATCTTTGAAGACTACATAACTGCAGCAACGTGCTTTTCTCTAATTTTGGGGAAGTGGTTCTCTCCCTGTTACAACTTGGTTAATTTTAGACCTTTCTGCCTTCATCCCCCCCACCATATAAATAGAAAGGTGTGTTGTGTTGCCTGATCAATATCATCATCTCATTCACCCTTTGCCCACCATCTCCTTTCTGTAAAGAAGGAAAGTATAAGGAAGGTAAAGAAGCAGTTAATCTGGCAAGACATCTTGCTCTTGGAAGCTCATGACTTTGTGGAAGATCTTTTTTAGGTCTTCTATGACATGGTTGATACACACATATATAACATTTACCAAGCAACATTTTAGTGTCTCTAAAAGAACAAGTGACTATGGAAGCTCAAAATACAATCAGTGATTAGTGGCAGAGGGAAGCCGATCAAACACTGAAGACTCCTCCATCTGCCCAGAATACCTGCATAGGAGAGTTGCCTACAAAATAAAGAAATCTATTGAGAATATATATCCTCAGCAATAAATAAATAAATGGGCTTTTTCTATTTTCTTGTGACAATGAAGCTCGGAGCTGTAAAATATCAAACCATCTCAAGGTGTTGTTAGAAAATTTTATTTTGTGATCGAATGAGAGTGCTTGTGATTACATGCTTATTCAAACTATACATGTCCATTAGCGTGTTAAAACAAACTTATTTTTATTTATCAAAGCAGCTAGCCAGTTGCCTCTAAAATGCTTTCAGTCATGAAATGGAAATGTACCTGACTTCTGAGAAAGAAATAGCAAACTCAAGACTAAAAGCAGAGTCAATGCACCAAAGGAAGACTTTGGTGAGTAGACTGATTCTTCATAATTTATCTCTCTCTTAAGTCATCTCAAGAAGGGAACTTGAGATTATCCACAAGTGCTCCATTAAGTGGCTCCTCACAAAGAGACTGCAAGACTACGGTCTGCAATGGGTGTAGAACTCTGGTAGATGAGGGAAGAACTATGTTGCTCAAACCACAATCATACTTTCAAAAGGACACTGGGTTCCCACACTGGTGGCACACTGGTTAGAATGCAGTATTGCTAACTCTGCCTTACAGCCTGGAGATCCATCCTGACAGAGGTCAAGGTTAGCTCAACATTCCATCTTTCCATTTTACCAACCTTCCAGACTATTGGGAGTAATATGCTGACTTTGTAAACTGCCCATAGAGTCCTGTAAAAACTATAGGGCAGTGTATAAGTGCTATTGCTATTCCTATACTCCTTTTGTGGTTACGTTTGGAATTACTTGTTAATTGTATTTTAGATATTTGGATTAACAAATAAAAACACTGGGTGAATTTCCTTCAATCCTTAATGAAAGATGTTTAGTGATTTGTTTATAGATAAGAGATGGGATATGGGAAGAAAAGATTATTTGTTGTACTTTCAGAAGCTGAAGTAGTTTATACTGTACTTGTTATGATAAAGGAGGAAATAATTTCTTTATGTGTTTATTTTCTTTTTCTATACTATATTCAAAGTTTTATTTCTTTTTTCTATTTTTTTAAAGTTTTTATTGGTTTTTAAAAACAAACATAAACAAACAAAACATAAAAACATCAAACCATCTTCCATATATGTACATACAGTGTGCCGGTTGGTTTACAAATTGTTTTGTGCTTCCATTTCGTAGTCTTCAATTACAATTACATTGCATATAATCTCGTATTTTCAATCAAAAATTAAATACCTTAGTATCATTATTAATCAATCATTTGACTATACTTTTAAAAATCTATTTTTGTTTCTATATTTCCATTATGCACTTTCTATATTTTTTTACAGTTTATGTTAGTTTTTATGTTTATGATTGTAATTTTTAATAAAACCATTTAAAAAGAAAGGAAATGAAGATATATCCCTCTCATCTATTTTCCAGCCTGTAAGACTGGGGGTTTGGAAACATGCTGCTTGAGATAATATTGAGTATTCAAGACCAGCACTCCTCAATATTGATGTCCTTCATGAATTCACCTAATCCTCTTTTAAAACCATTAAAGTTAGTGACCCTCAGCATGTGTTGGGATAATGAATTCTACAAATGAATTAAACACTGTCCCAATGAGATTTGGATCATTTAGCTTGCTAGATATTCTGACAGATAATCTGATCACCCTAAGTGACCTTTTAATTAACTTTCTGTCAAAAACCTGACACATTTATAAATTTCCATTCTATCATGTTTTACTGATTCTCAACTAAATGGCACAATTTTCTAGGTGTAGCTAGTGTTCATATCCTCTATTTTTATCGTTAATTATTTTAAATATTCCCTAACTTAGTTGATTTTAAAAACAGTATGCTTGACAGAATAAACCAAATCTAGTACATAGTACATTTGATTGATTGATTGATTGATTGATTGATTATGTGTCATCATGTCAATGTTGATTCTTAGCAACCACGTAGATCTTCTCTAGAATAATCTGTCCACTCATCATGCTTTGGGTAAGTCTTTTCTTTACTTTTTCCAGGGTTAGGAACTTTTTTTTTTTAAATAATTTTTTTTTTAAATTTTTTAATAACAAGCATAAGCATACATAACAAAATAAACATAAACATAACACAAAAAACATAAAAATATCCTTCTTCATAAATTTACATACAGTGCATCGATTGGTTTACCACTTTTTTTTGTGCATCCATTTCCTAGTCACTAGTATAATTATATTACATAATAGCTCATATTATCAATCAATAATTGTATAACCTAATATCATCACTAAAAAAAAATCATTTATAATTTTGTTAATTCATATTTTAACGAGATAACTATAATTTGCTTAATTTATTTTGCAATAAATCATAAGATCATACCAAATCTACCTTGATAATGTTTTATAAAGATAATATCAAGAAAAAAATTTTTTTTTTATGCTAAATCGAATATTCTATCATGTTTTATTATCTAACCATTGATAAAAAAGATCCCAACGTGGCGGAGCCACGTTGCTGCAATACAGCTGCAATCTTGGGGCTCTGAGATTGCAGCTGATATCTTCGCCCCTGGTCGGTCCTAATGGACCTAAACCGTCCCGTAGAGACGGTGATAGTAAGGGGCGCGTTCTGCTGATCCCAGGGACATCGGCGGAGAGGCAGCCTTTTGGCTGCTGAAGCTGTGACAGCTCTGGAAGGAAGAGGCTGAATGAGAACGTGCATCGGCTGGTGAGAATTTTTTTTTTTCTCGGGAACTCAAGGACACTCTAAAGTGAGAAGAATCCTGTAAGACTTTGGACAAAAACTGATGGAACTGATTTAGCGGCGATTTCTTAAAGAAAATGTCAAATTGAGGCTTGGCTTTTTACTTTTACTTTTGCTTTCATTGAACTTCCATTGTGATCTTGTAACTGTAACTAGACTGGTTTTTCCTTTTATATTCATCTAATTTTTCTTTCTTTTTTCCCCCTTTTGATTGTTAATAGTTTTTTTTAGAATAGAGGCTCCCTTTAGTAATTTTTCTTTTTTAAAATACATATATATACATGTATATTTCCCTCTTTTTACTAGGCTTTTTTGGGAAAGAAGGGAGAGTGGATTAAAGAAACTTTGTAACACTGCCAACTAGAGGCTTGAAGATACTTTATTGAAAGTTGAAAGAGCTGTGAAGGAATCCTTTCTCAAGGACACTGGAACTTGATTAGATAGAGGGAAGAACACCGGAGATTGTTTTAACAGGTGTTCTTTGGAACTTCTATTATTGAGTACTGGAAGTTTGGCTTTGGAATTTGTGGAGAAGCCATAATAAGAGCCTTGGATAACTAAATAAGATGCAGTGTGCTTTCTTTCTTATCTTTCTTTAGCTGTTCCATCCCTCCTCCTCAACCCCACAGTATTTTGTAATATTTGTATATCTATTTTCTTTTTCTTTTGTTTGACTTTATTTTTAATTTTTAAACTTACTTTTTTTAAAGGGAAAGCCTCAGAATAGCTTTTCTTTTTCTTTTTGCTTATTGGGATTCTTGCCTTTTCTATTTTCTATTTTCATGTTTTTTATTTATTTTTATGGTTATTTTTTTTTTTTTTTGAGACCCTACAATTGGACTAGGGTGTGAAGAACCTGAAGAATTCTTTCTTTTTCCTTTTCTTTTTTTTTTTTTTTTGATCATTGCTTTTTAATATTATTGGGTCTTACTCTCTTTTTCTTTTTTACTATTCTTAATTTTTATTTTTGAATCATAATTGGCCATCTTATAATAGGATTAAGGTTTAGAAGAACCTGAAGAATCTCCTCCTTTTTTTTTCTTTTTAATCTTCTTTTTCTCCTTCTCTTTTTAATCCTGGACTCTTTATTTTTTATTGGCTTTTTTTTAAATGTTGTTCTTCTTCCCAATTGGATTATAATTGGCTACCCTATTGATTGGATTAAAGGAGCTTAAAGATCTTGAGTTATTCAAATGAGTAAGAAAACTTTACCTTCTGGCAGTTCAACTTCTGCTCCTGCTTCTCCATCAACTGGAGGATGACTATCAATAATGGCGAAGCAAGATAAAGTACAAATGGATCTAGCGACGATTATACAAGGAATACAAGAACTCAAAACAAGCATTGACCTAAGAACAGAGAGTATTGAACAAAGAATTGCAAAGACTGATGAAAAAATTGAAAACTTTCAACAGATGATGGCAAAACAGGAGGAGAGACTCCAAAAAATTGAGGAGAAAGATAAACAAAGAGATGAGACAATTGGAAATATTGTTAGCAAATTAACAACGGTGCAACAAGATATAACTGGGATGTTGAAGTGGGAGATGGATAGGTCAGAATTTTATCTCAGATTTCAAAATATTGAGGAAGAAAAAGGACAGGATTTGGCAGCTGTAATGATAGAAATTCTGGCTGGAGCTTTGGAGATAACAGAGGAAAAGATGATGGACGGAGTAGATGAGATATATCGTGTTTTCACAAGATATGCAATGAGGAATAAGCTACCAAGGGAGATCCATGTCAGATTTACTAAAAAGACTATTAAAACACAAATATTACAAGTCGCAAGAGATAAGGGGCTGAAATATAAAGGTAAAGAGATTATGGTTTTAAAACAAGTCCCCAGAAGAGTGAGAGAGATGAGAAGAGAATATCGATTCTTGACCAAAAAATTATTGGAAAAAGACATGAATTATAGATGGTTGATCCCAGAAGGATTAATGTTTATATGGCAAGACACATATAGACTTGAAACCAGAGATTTTTTTATTGGGAATCTTACCTGATATATATAATAAAAATTTGAAGTATTTGATTGTAAATATATTAACAGCGGCTAGGATTGTATTTGCTAAGAACTGGAAGAGTGAGAAAACTCCATCAGAAGAAGAAATTATTAAGAAAATATTGGATTGTGCTGAAATGAGTAAATTGACATTTGAAATCAGAGAACAAGAAGATAAACAATTTTATGAAGTCAGGGTTAGGAACTTTTTAAGAGAGCTCATTCTTTACACAATAGGTCTGAAATATGAATTAGTCATTTGTGTTTCAAGTAAAATCTCTGGATTGATTTGTTCTGTGATCCATTTGTTTGTTTATTTGTTTTTGTCTTTTCATGGTGTTTTTAGAAATCATCTCCAACACCCAAGTTCAAAACCATCAATATTCTGACTGGGTTTTTTTAGCTGTTGTCATTAACCTGATCTATATATTCAGTCTGAAGTATTATTTTGAAAGTGCTCCTTAGCACCAA